ACGAAACCCAATTTGTGTTTCCCCCGCAGGGCTATTCTCATGGCTCGACTCCAGACGTTATAATTCTCGGCGCCGATGAGAATTTGTGAGATGATGGTTGCTCCTTGTGTATCCAAAGGATGGAGGTATAGCGGATGGTTGAAGTTGAGATTCCCATTGGCAGAATCGTCCGGTTTCCTTGAATCTCCCATGGTGGATAACTGCGATTTGCTCTCCTAGCTTTCGACACGGTGTAATCAATGAATTAGGGCTTGAACACGAAGACCCCCTTCATGCTCCGCATCAATCGACGATGATGATAGACGAAACGACGTCGTCTTCTTGAAATGGCAATGGACCTTCAAGAAACCTGCTCTGGTACCATGAAAGAACACATAGTGCAGGCCCAAAAGAATTGGTATCTTTCTTATTTAGCTGAATAATGGTCCATTACAAGTTGTAACCACAAAGGTCCTCCTATTTATCTTCGGTGCAAGATAACCACACTGAATTGAAACTAAAACTAAACCTGAATGGGCCCTTGGCCCAATAACTAAAATACATTAGTATGTTAACAATCTCGTAGGAAGAAAGTTATTACAATATAGCTATAAAGATTTTTTAAAGAAAAAATTAGGTCAAATATCTAATATTCATTATGTCAAATTCTTCAATCATGCGTAGCTATGGGTCCTTTTTTATTTCATATGAATTTATAGTGAAATGTTAATATTTCAAAAATAAGACACATGGTTGTGTGTGATTAGAGAACTTGACACAATGGATATAAGCAACTTAATGATATAAGTATTGTCCTTTTGTTTTTTCACTTAACTTTTGGAATTCCAACTCTGAAATATATATATATATATAAATTAAAGCAAGATCTTGGATCATCATCAATTTGTTATAGAATATATAAAAGTAAAGGCAATATGTTAGTTTCGTTTGCGTGAAACAAGGAGCATTAGATTAGACAAACAAAATGCTTAGCAACTTCTCTTTTTCTAAGGCTACTTTTAATATGGCGTAATGACCCCGAGTCTTCCATGAATAGGCTACGATTTTTAATTTTTGTTCTTATGTTATGATTTTTTTTTTATTTTGGGAAAATAACTGATATATCAGTCGGTCCACGAAAATTAGCTTTTGAATTTTAGAAAGTTAACTGAATTAATTATTTTATTAAGTGATGAGAGGAGGGACAAGAAATTGCCAGGCAATCAGCATATAAATGCCTCTTTTAAACTCAATGCTTTGGTCATGCAAAGCATTTGAGAATTGAATTTTATTTTCAAATCCAATTCAAAATTTTACTGTTTGGATGAGTAATCAAAATCAACATTATAATAATTAGAACATTTATTATAGCATGCTCCCCTTTTGCTTAATTTTGATTATACATAAATCTTCGAAGACACAAACGAAGTACTATATGTTATGGTTTACAAAATGAATTTTATCATTAGCACGAATATGCATCCATCTAACTAGTGCAAAATAAATCAAATTACAATTCAACAATCATTTCGTCTTATCAACTTTTATTCCCTTAAATCTCTCAACCGATTCAAAATGATTTTAAAATTAAGAAAATATTACTTTCAATTCAGGTTTTTTTAGTCAATGAAATTTTCATATGCAGAAAGGCCTTATATGTTTTTTTGTATAATGTTATTCTATAGGATTTCATACATAGAAAGTACTAGTATTCCAATTTAAGTGTTTTCAATTAGTAAAATTTTGAAACCAGGATTTTTCACTAATTTATCATATACTACCTCCTGTCCTTAATATAAGAGTCAGTTGACTAATTTGAGTAGATTAAAAAATTAGTTAAGTTAGTTATTTGAATAAATAGATGTTATTTTTTTTTACAATACCCTTGTTAATTAAGTGTCATTTGATGAAACATTTAACATTTGCAACTGCTACAAATTAAGATTACCTTAGAAAAAATGAATAAATATGAAAGATAAGGTAGATTGGGGTCTTATATTTAAAACTAAACTAAAAGTCAAACTAACTCTTATATTAAGGAGTGAAAGTAGTAATTAATATTGTGGACTCCCCTTTTAGCTATCTTCGATTCGTTTGAAAGGAAATGAGAATGAGAAAAGGAACTCCATTCTTCTTTCCACGCTCCTTCCCACACGACTGCAACTCGCTGTATCTATCACCACAGTCAAGTCAACCTGGTGTAACTTGTTCCATGGGGAGGCATGCAGAGACAGTTAGATATGGATTAGAAATTAGGATCTTCTCAATTTACAATTCCATCAACTTGTTTCAATTTTACTTTTTAACTGTACGTCGTATTGATTTAGATTGTTATAGCGTTTCCCCCAAAATCAGAAGGATGCAGTATTTATTTCTTTTCTTTAATTAATTGAATTGTTTTCCTGTTGGTTTATTTCCTTTGGGACATAGGTCCCCTTTGTTTCAGGGGGAAAAAAGAGGAAAAGAAAAAAAGATCTGAATTGTTATGCGGATCGGCTCAAATTTAGAATAAAATTTAGAACTGAGACAAATTGAGAGGATAAATCTACATAAATGAATTAGTATTTTAGTATATTGATGAGTAGATTAGTAAATAAAGTTTATTAAAAATTCTCACAAAAATACCACTTCAATAATTAAAATGTATTATACATTTACAATTATATACTAAATAGGTATTTTTATTGTTATAGTGTCTACTTAAAAACAATTGTTAGCAATTTGATATGTAAAGTTTAATATGTTATGTTATATGTATTGGTTTTACTGCTCCAATTTCTTCACTCTCACACATAAGGAAGAAGGGAAGATATATTAGGTCATATAAGATTTTTATATTCTCCTATACCTCAATCAATATATTATTATAGATAAAATTAGAGATATAATTAGAAAATGTTAAGAAATTGTAATAGCTTAAATTTATTTATGTGTTTTCATGTAATATTATAATCATGATTTTATAAGACATTAAATCTCAACTGTTTTATAATTAATATGAGGATCAGAATCCTTTATTAATACTATCTTAAAATATACTATCTTGAAATATGAATATAAATATAACATGGGAATTAGATGTGTGGAAAGAAAAAGGAGAGAAAAGATGAGTAGAGGTCTAGAGGATCCAAGTTATTTCCTAATTCTATTATAATCTATAATTTAATGTAAATTTATAGTTAAAAATTTAAAATAATAAAAACTGATAAGATGATGTAAAATTTTTTCAATAAAATTTTAAACAATTATATAATTAACCAAAAGAAAAATAAATTTTCAAATAAGGAAATTATTTATTTTTATATATTAATTTTTAAAGTGATATTTATATGTTAAATTTTTCATTAAGTATAAATTAAATTAATAGTATTATAATAATTATATCCATATTTTAATTTTTTTCCAAAAAGACTATTATAACTTATAAACATTATACTCATTATAAATTAATATTATCTTTTATAATTTATATATATTGAAATTCATATAAATAAAAGAAAATTAAATTAATAGTATTATACTAATTCTATCTATATTTTAATTTTTTTCCCCAAAAAAATATTATAACTTATAAATATTATACTCATTATAAATTAATATTATCTTTTATAATTTACTATATATTGAAATGCATATAAATCTACATACGTTGATATTTATATATTAATATTATATGTATTTACATTACATGTATTAAAATATTTTTATATATCATAATTAATATATATAGATACATCTGTACGTTATGTTTAATATACGCATATATGTATATATATATATAATTTTGTATCAAAAGATTGCAGGTTTACTCTCGCTCACATGGCAAAGGCACCGCTGAAAACTATCCCCGTTAAAAAAATATTAATTATAGGTTACATTACATCATCACCGACCGATCAACTACCACCACGTCATCGCCTTTGGCCACTAACGTCATCGCCTAGCCTGTTATGTGTTTCCATGTGGCTGCCATGCACCACGTTTGCCATATGTCAATACTCCGTTGCGCCACATCACCTACAAATATTTTCTCCTCATTAGTACTGTCATCGCTAAAAGTATCCTATAGCGGCGACTGTGAAAATGTATTTTTAGTGATGACTTAATTTTTAGTGAGGAAAATTTTTATTTTGGGAGAATAACAAGAAAAAAAGCTGAAAATTTGTAAGTGCCAAATAATAGATGTCAATAAAAATTTGTTGTTATTTGCAAATTCAGTGTTGTCAATGTTAAATAAAATATTATTACTAAACTTAATTTAGGATTTAATAATTTCAATTTTTTTTGTCATTCTCTCTTATATTTTTAAGGGCAACTCTTTTTAACTTTTTGTCAATGTTAACAAGTGTCAATGGTCACCATGACATCGACTTAGTGACTACATTGGTTGCAACAAAATAATCTATATATATTTTGTCTTAATTATATAAATTTTCTTTGTGAAGATATACTTTCACATAATATATTAATTCTAATATATTTTAAAGGAATCTTAAAAAAATTTTGTCAATTAAAATTTTTAATAAAAGGAAAAATCTGACCAGAGGACAACGTCAATTTTGAAATTCCAAAAAAGTTAATCTAATAAACAAGAAGACACGTTGATTTCGTACTTGGAAGGAATAAAAAACCGAAACTACCCCTAGGAGGTTTTGAAATGGGGAAGCCAGAAATTTCATATGTTTACAATGATCTCTAGTCATCTTTACAATTTTAGCAATACTAGCTCAGATTCTTGTTATAAGATTCTGTTTGTAGTCTATAAATAGGATCTTATAATTAGAATTGGAGGTAGTATTATTTATAACTGTTTTTAATCACTTCAAAACTTAGGAGGAATTCAATCTGAGGGTAATATTTTAAGTGATTTCCCACACCTGCGATGACATTGACAGAACCTTGAGTCATTTTCACAACTTCTTGGTAAGGCGATTAATAACTGTTTTTAATCACTATAGAACATAGAGGAAATTCAATATGTATTGGTGTCAATTGGACGGAAATAACCTTCCTAATTTTGTAATGCTAAGAAAGCACAATGAACTTGTCTCCAAGGGTTTATAAAAATTGCAGATTAACTAAAATATTTTTGGATTTGCATTAAAATCCAAGGTTTTCTTAATCGCATAGGAAGAGCCTTAAATAACTCATACTCGTTTACATCAGTGGTGAGAATATCATAAATTTGCAGCAATGGAATGTCTTCCAAGTCTGAAACTTGAAAGAGTTCTTCAAGTATCTTCTCAGCACTTGTCTTTTCCGAGTCTGTTGTGTAAGCCTGGGAAATAGGACGAGCAGCAAGTGTATGATTTCTCCGCCATGAAAGATCCTGCTTTGTGGTAGATACTTGTGTGCCATGAATTGAATCATCAGGGAAAATTCTTTCTTCCTGAGACTTGACCACAAAGATGCCAAAAGAAATCAAATTCACATTTTGCCCCCATGTATTTCGCTGGACTGACATAAATTTTCATAACAAGTCAAGGAGTAATTTTCGCTTCTTTATAAATAGCATACCTGAGTAGTCACACTCTCAGATGGATGGCAGTTCGACGAAGAAGGCGACTGGGTGGCCGTGGATGGTGGTGCTGTAATGGCTGGATTTGCAATGAGAGGAGCAAAGTCATGATGCCTAAGTCTGCAATAGTCAATGTTGTAACATCAAAGTCACGAGTGTAAACCACAATTTCTGATTTCAAACCATGTTTAGTCCCAAAGTTTAACATCATTTTGATTTTGATCTTTAAAATTTAATCTCATTTTTGTTTGCCTAAAGATTTTTGGTCCTTGAAACAATATTTTTTAACCCCCTGAAAGTTGAAACAAGGTTTGAAAGACCAAAATCACTAGTTTTAATTTCAAGAGACCAAAACTAAAATAAGTTCAAATTTCAGAAACTAAAAAATGATTTTAACCTAATTATTTATTATGAAAAGAAGATAAGATCACGTTTCATATATGGCACCTTGCATTTTTAGTGTTCAACTGCATCTTTTTTTCACCATCCCCACCAACTTCACACCACCCTTGTTCATAAACATGCATAGCATAATCACAATTTCTCTCAGCAGCAACACTGATCGATAAACCATACATAGGTTCTGCTGGATCCACCACTGCCATCTTCCTTTTGGAATTACAGGTTCTTGAACTATGCCCTATTATTCCGCACTTGTAGCAAAGACCCTCGAGTCTTTCGTACCTCACTGAGCTCCATAGCTTTGGCAGCTCTGGTCTTAGAATCCAGAACCCAGTTATTAATGGACGACGTAGATCAACATTTATCCTTGCCCTTGCAAAACTCCTAATAATCCTTCCATTAACAATAGGACATTCCACCATTAGTACCTCACCCATCTTTTTCCCTATTTTTATGAGATTATTCACTGTCATAGCCTTTACAGGCACATCACGAAATTGTACCCAGAAAGGTGACATGTTGAATCTTCCATCTGATAGCACCATATACCCTGTCCATCCTTGGATATTGAGTAGGCATCCTGAGATGTACCAAGGTCTGCCTCTTAACACCCTAAAGTAATCATCCTCCTTTCCAAAGGTAAACATATATGAATTAACTCCTAATTCCAAGATATCCACCTCCTCTATCAGCAAATTCCAAGCCTGTTCAACCATGCTCATCACTTTGTGCTTGTTCAAAGCTTCCTCTGTTATTAACACTCCCACTAGTTGTCTCTTCTCTACTTTGTCACCACTACCACTTGTCCAATCTAATTCGATTGTAACTCCTGCCTCATCATCTTCCTCTAAATCAACCTAAAGAAAGGAAAATGGAAGACCCACAAGAGAGAACTTCATCAATTTATATATGTCAGAGAAAGTGAAAAAAAAAAATCTCATTGGATTGACCCGACCAAATTTGCACAGCAAGTTAATGACAGAATCACAACTGGTTAAAATCGGTTACTACATTAGAAGAATTTCAGCAAGCACAACCAAAAGAAACCCCACATAAGATGTACGTGAATCAGAGGAAGATACATAAGAGTGTTGCTATAAATCCCATACCTGGCTAGGCACACTCTCACGTGGATGGCAAGTTGATGAAGATGATGAATGGATGGCTGTGGGTGGAGCTGCAATGGCTGGAGCAAAGTCACAATGGCTATGTCTGCATTGGCTGGAGCTGAACAATCAATGCAGCATCAAAATCACAAGCTTCAAGGTTAAATTTCATAATGGGAAATTGAACTTCGAAATTTATTGAGATGAAGAGACATCCGTCACACACACACACGTATTGTACCCTGCATTGTCAATATCAAAATGAATCTGCAAATCATATAGATCGCCTTCTTTTTCTAAGAATGAAGAAGCAGGCTCTAGGGACTCGGTTTCACGTTCATTGACTATGGCTCGATGGCTCCCACTCACTGAATCTTCAGCTTCACAGCACCTTGTTTTTTCCTTAAAATTTGAAATAATATGAGTATATCTTGCGAAATAATGAGACATGATTAAATTGTTAGAGATCGTGCCTCAATTTCCTTTAAATCTCGTATGCCAAACCTTCTATTGTATTCTTCTCTGGTTTCTCTTTTAATTACCAATTCTTCGATCTCTCTCTCTGTTTTTTTTCCTAAATCTCCATTTCTGTTTCCTTTAGTCCTGAAAAATAAAGAACTGAAATTTGGTCTTTTCTTTTGTGAGGTTTTTCCCTTCAGTTAAAGCTTAGACATGATAAAAAAATGATGGTAGCAATGTGACTTACTTGATCCTGGCGCTCTTGCAGACTTGAAAGGAAGTTTTCAAAATCTATTTTCTCAATGACTCGCCACCCACACTTAATGGAACTTGGTCCATCATTCTTTTGGGCTTCAAATTTCAAGAGAAGCTGGCTGTAATTCATTGATAAATCACTTTGCTTTCCAATTTGCCCAAACAGGATCCACAAGTGAGGAGAACTTATTCCCTTCTCACATTTTCGATCCCTTCCTTGGAGGAATACGATATCATCATTAGAAGCTTTTGCATAAAAAGAGAGCCCAAAGGGATTTTGGTTGGCCCCTGTGGAATAAAACATGTCATCTTCTAGCACAATGCATAACACAAATCCAAGCCATTCACATGGAGGCATGTCAATTATTATTGATCTTTTAGATTCCTTATTCAGGGAAACACTTTTTTGGTTCTCAGACCATGATGGTATTTCCATTCCTGGAATAGTGACTGAAAAGGCTTTGAAGGACAGTGTTGCCAATGAGTCAGCATTCAATCTATGCGGTAGCCTTTTAACATGGTTTCCACCCTGAAACATAAATTTGACATATCTTATGTTGAGCAAAATGTAATCGGTTAAGTGAAGTAAAGAGATGTGTACCTGGTTAAGCGAAGTAAAGAGATGTAACAATTCTACATCTGACAAAGTTGTCAGTGAAGCACAATCTCCTGCATCCATTAGATATAAACCTGGTGAAGGTTGTGGCAAAAATTGAAGCCTTGGGCAAGAATTCAGATAAAGAAATCGTAGATCCAAAAGATTAGAAATGAAGCTAGCTGGTAGATTTAGAACCATGTTTCCGCTCAGATCTAACTTTTTCAATGATGATAGGCCACCGAGATCATAGGGAAGGATTCCATCATCTATATCGCAGTAGCTTAAATCCAATTTTGTCAATGACTTAATGTTGAAGATAGAATTGGGCAACATTAAGCCCATAGGGGAAGAACATCCTTGAAATGACAGTTTCTTGAGTCCTTGTAAATCACCAATAGAAGAAGGTACTTCTGCTATAACAGTTGTGCTTGCATCAAGCATTTCCAAGGCTTCATTTTCATTGAGATTATCTGGAAGCTTAGAAAAAGTTGAACAACCAGAAATATTGAGAACTTTCAAGTGCTTCAATTTTTTAATGTTGTGGGGAAGGCTAACAAGATTTTCGCAACCCCTTGAATTCAAAGTTTGGAGACTAGTTAATGATCCAAGAGATTCAGGAAGTTTGGCTATACTTGTCTCTTGCACATCAAGTGTAATGAGATTTTTCATATTTTCTCCGAATTCTGGAAGATCTCTAATTTTTGTGCATCCACAAAGAACAAATTCCTTCAAAGAGTTCATGTCGAGTTTTCTTGGAAGGAATTTAAGACTTCTGCAATTTCTTAGATTCAAAACTTCAACTCTAGTTAAGGATCCAAGTGACTCAGGAACATCTTCTATGCCAGTCTCTTCTAGAACAAACTCTTTTAAACATGCCATTTCCAATTGTCTTGGAAGGACTTTAAGATTCAGGCAACCTTTCAAATTTACTTCAAGAAGATGGTGGAGCTGTCCAAGTGAAGGATGAATATTAGCAAGTTTGGCGCAGCCTTCAAGAACTAATCTTTCTAAATTTTGAAGTCCATAAAATTCTGGACTTTGAATAAGGTACTTGGAATGGCTCAAGTCCAAAATCTTTAGATTCTCCATAAACTGGTCAAATAAAAGACAGTGCAAATCGGCTATAAATAAATAGTTAGCTTAATGAATTGAGTTATGCAAGTGTTTAAATTAAAATATCTTACTTGTGTGCCCTGAGAAAGTCGCTTTAGTTTGCTATTGTGCATCTTGAGATATACAAGTTCATAAGGTTTCACATTCAAGGGAAGATCTCTTAGAGGATATCCATACCAGTGAAGAACTTTTAATGCCCATGGAAAGCCCATAAGACAACGGGGAAGGTTAAAATTACATGATATGATTAGTAATCGAAGCAGACGCATTCGTAAGAAAGATGCAGGATTCCAATTTGCTTCATCTTTTGCAAAAGTAAAGGGCAGAACCACACCTTCCGTTGCTTTAGTTCCCTAATAAAAAACATTACAAAAGAGTATCAAAATAAGCAAACAAGGCATATGAAAATTCATGAGCTAGGAGAAATTTTGTGACAGTATTTTTAGTATTTCTAGAAAATTAATTACTCACCATATTTCTATTTAGTACTTGATCAATGTCATGAGAAAACCACAATCTACTGCGCCTTCCAACATCATCACGAGATTCATCAAAAACAATAAGCCTACCCATTTCTTGAACCAGACCATGCATCTCTATGTACTTGATACTGCCAACCTCAATTTCAGCTAGCAATGATTTGTCAATAAGACTTTTCATACCAATTGTTGCCTCAAAACCACAGCTTGCCAATATTTTTGTTACTTCATCCTTGCCCCACATATTGAAAAAACATGCAATATCTAAAAATATTGTCCTTTCCACATGGTTTAATGCATCATAACTTAATCTAAGTATCTTAAAAATATTATTACTTGAATCCTTTTTCAACAAATCCAAAGCATCTTCCCATTCAATTTCCCTTCGTCCTGAAAAGAAGGAGCTCATGACACAGACAGCTAAAGGAAGGCCATTTGCATAATTAATTACTGATTTTGACAATTCCAATAAACTCTTTGTAGGTGGATCTCTTCTAAATGCTTTTTGACAGAAGAGTTGGAGAGACTCATCATGGTTCATTGGTTTCACCTCGTATATTTCATCCACATTATGAGATCTCAGTAAGTGAACATCCCTAGTTGTAATGATTACTCTACTCCCTTCACCAAACCACTCCCGGCTTCCAGCTAAACTCTCTAATTGGCTTATAAGATTTACATCATCAAGGATAAGCATAACTTTTCTATTGCGGAAAAGGTATCCTATTGTTTTCTTTCCTTCATGCTTGTCTTCAATTTGCATGTTTCTTATCTTGAGACGTGCAAGCAGTTTACTTTGCAAGTGAGCAAGGCCATTCCTTTCCGAATCTTCCCTGACATTGGCAAGAAAGCAATGCAAGTCAAATTGGCTATGAAACCTCTCATAGATAGCTCTAGCAAGAGTGGTCTTGCCCACACCTCCCATTCCCCATATTCCTATAAACCGAACATCATCCAACCCTATCTCTAACACTGAAAGGATTTGGTCTACTCTCCATTCAATTCCAACTAGTGCATCACTTACACTGACAGGTGGCAATTCAGAACAAAATTGGTCCCATAAATGTCCAACCACATTCTCAATGAGTTCTGTTTCGTACCTACAAGCACAATTTTTCCCTCACATGAATTGTATGATCATATGATATATGTAATATAACTCAGATATAAATAATAAAAAAAGTTATATATTTGATAGTATGAAATAATTATTGATTTATTCACTCTCAACTGAAAGTTTTTATCTCTCTGAAAAGAACATGTCGAGACATGCAGATATCTTAGATACATCAAAGCAGTGTTCAATGAATTGATACATATATATATATATATATATATATATATGCAAGTTATTCAATCTTATTAAAAAGACTCACCTATATTGACTGGAATCAAAACCAGATAAATTAGCCATTTCTGTTAGAGAATCCCTCCGTTTTTGCAGCTTTGGTTGGTCATGTTGGAACTTCTGTTCAAGTTTGGCAAAAGATTCACCAAAGGCTTTTCGTTGGTTTCTTACATCAGATGGACCTACATGATAAAAGATGGGGAAAACTATTTGACCTAGCTTATTTCTTGAGACAAGAATGTGTTGGAGCTCATTTAAACACCATGAAGAAGAGGCATAAGTTTTGGAGAGAACAACAACCGCAAAGTGAGATTCCTCAATTGCTTGTCGAAGTTCCTGTGAGATAACTTCTCCTCTTTCAAGTTCTTCATCATCTCTAAAAACTCTAAATCCACTCCTATTTAATGCATGATACAAGTAGTTTGTAAAGCCTTTACGAGTATCTTCACCCCTAAAACTCAAGAAAATGTCATATTTGCAGGTCCCTCGGGTTGAATTGGAGCTGGAAGAATTTGAGGAAGAGGCTTCATGGTCACTTGCCATAAATGTATGAGTCAACTTACGAAGTATAATGTGATGAACCTGTAGTATTTTAGCCTACAAAAACTAAACCATAGCATTAGTCCTCAAAGAAAACAAATCAAATATGAAATGAAAATTATAGAAACAAGGTAGGAATTAAAGATGGCGTGTGATCTAGATCTGTCATACACTGACCTTAGCTCAATGCTAGCTACAAGTGAAGACTAAACTCCAATGCTTCGTATACCTGTATGTAGTTAGTACTTGAAGATTGGACGTATGTGGTGGCTCACTTAGAAACCACCGCGGCCCTGATGCAATCCGACGACTTTCCCCTTAATTATTGATTTTCTTACATTTCCATTATTTGTGCTTCGTCTTCATACAATTTCTGCTCATACTCTAAGAAATTAATTGGAAAGATTTTTATGCAATCCCACATCGATGAACAATTTAATTACTAAAAAGTCACACAGATAAGTTTTGATGCAGAAAATCACAACATGTGTATATGCCGCTCACTTGTCGTGAGACTTTTTAGTAATAAGATTGGTTATACAAACTGCAAAGTAATTTTGCCAAATTAATATTACTATTATTAAAAAGCAAATGGGAGAATTCTTTCTGGTTAGCAATCCAATATTAAATGCATATGGGGTTGGTTTTCTCACCTTCCAGTCTGAACACGCCAATATATCTATGTAAATGGAACCCGTCGGGCTCCATTAGCGCGTATGATTGCCAAAAAGTCAAAGAAAAGGAGACGTGAGAATTGAATGAGCAGAGGCCCATTTCCTTCCTTCCATGCCCCTTCCCTCACGACTCCTTCCAATTAATTATTTCTTTAGTCTTATTTATAAAACACTTCCAGCATGTTTCACACAAACAAAAAAAAATCTTAAAATGTATTAACTCTATTAAAATATAACAATTTTTTAACTTTACCCTTATTTAATATATGCACCTTTCAAAAAAGATAACTACCTACACTATAATAAATGAAGGATAAAATAGTACGTTTACGCAAAAAATTTAATGAAGTGACTTATAAATATGACAAAAAAAAATTATCTCTCTACCCTATAAATAGGACCAGAGGAGTATATCACACTACCTTCATTTCTCAACATTAAAGCTATATAACTAATTTGGAAATATTAAAAAAATTAATTTAGCTAGTTATTTGTAATAAATTGATATTATTTTTTTTAAAATATCCTTATTAATCATGTGAATTTAAGTTATTTCTTGATAAAAACTTTTTAAGAACATATATGCAATTCATAAGAATTACTTGAGAGGAAAATAAATAAATATTAGAAATAAAGTGAATTAGGGTCTTCTATTTAAGATCAAATTGAATATAAAATTAATGCTTATTTTATAACAAAAAAAAAAAACTAACGATCGAACGTAGTATGAAATAGAAGCAAAGACATAAATGTTGTTATTGACCAAAGACTTGGAGAAATGAATGGGAATTAAGGAAATATTGCTTCCACTGACAACTTATTTCTTACAAGCTTGGAGGTATTGTTTCCATGCTCCCTCCCGCATGACTGCGACTCATATCACCAACGTCAAGTCAACCTAGCGTGAAGATTCCAAGTCTTTCCTGAATATGTTACAATTTTTAAATTTTGTTCTCATGTAATGACTTTTCTTTTCTGAGAAAAGTAACTAAGATTTATCTAACTTACAAATATGTGTCTGTATTACTAAATTTTTTAAAAATTATTGTTGATCCAAAATAATAAGCTCTTGAATTTTAGAAGGTTAAATTACTCAATTTATTTTATAAAAGACAGGCTGAACTTATTTGGCAAATAGTGGACTATGAAGAAAAGAGGAGATATTGAGTGTGGTAAGGGAAGCACCTGTAGTCTGAGCAATTTGAAAAAGATGAACAAGTGGGAGTGAAGATAAAATGGTGAGGCTGAGTAAGTGTTGATGATGAGAAATGATGAGGGCAGTGCAGGGACGAGAAATTGCCAGCTAGAATTAGAATGCATCTTCAAACTCATGCTTCTTCAGCCAACAGAGAATTTGAGAAAAGGATTTTAATTTCCAAATCCAATTCAAGTTTTATTGTTTGGATGAATAATAAATGTTATAACAATTATAAATGTATATATTATCTCTAGTTCTAAATATAAGACCTCATTTGTAATCTTATATTTAGAACCCAAGTTAGAATATTATAGCATATTCCCTTTTCCCTTTTTGTTTTTGGTCAACTCCCTTTTTCTTAATTTAGATTATGCATAACTCTGCATTCATCCAAACACAACGGACAGCACTATGTGTTACGGTTTACCATGTGAATTTCATTAGCATGAATATGCATAGAACCAGTACCGAATAAATCAAATTGCATTTCGATATGTCTCGAAATCCAATTTCATCACCAAGCCATAATCCAGACGAGCATATATAAAACAATGCCAAGCTAGTAAAATGATTATAAATATTGTACCAAAACCTTGCAAAGATTACAAATTAATTACAACATCTTGTGATCTGGGTTGATGTCCAAAGCTTTGTCAATAAGGGAGTCGAAAGAGCCTTAAATGACTCATTATATATTCTCTTTGATTTCCAGTAACTATTATATAAATTTGCCTTTTATTAACTAACCACGTTTTGAAAACATCTTGGTTTTGAAGCCCAAATTACGTTTTTTTTTAAAGCCGTTGCCAACAACACTCATTCCAAAAGGAACTTGAAAACCAAACAACACAATTTTCATTTTCAAATCATGTTAAAGTCCAAAATCATGGTTAGAAAAGAAGTAACATGCAACATGCTTTTGGCTGATCTCGGTTTTTGCCGCTTTCCATTTATCGAAATTCAATTTTGGATAACTTCAATTTACCTAAAGTAATTTGCAGAGCCAGTTCTATCCAAACTTTAATATTGACTGACGTAAACTAGTCAAATTATTGTCGATGCAAGAGGATGCAAAACAATAACGAGGTAGTATTAGAGTGCATTTTATAACACGTATCTTGCTCTTCTGTTATGAACTACTTCCATTAATCATCTACTTGTTGTTTCTCTTCCGGGTCGGGTGATGATGACAGTTCTGAAATTTAGGAAGTTATCCATAAAAAAAAAAATTATTGTTTAAAACAAGACTCATTTTTCGAAGCAAAGATTGCAAAAGCTAGTGTGACCCAATTGAAATAACCAAAGTTGATATTTTTTCCCCATAGACTTGAAAATTGACTTCTATTGTTCATAAGGTTATTAAAACTATACCATTATTTTTAAATATTTGTAATTATTTTATAAGAATAAAAAAGATGTATTTAAATAATTAAAATAATTTTAAAATAAAATAACATTTCAAGTTTGCCCTTATTTAAAAGTATTTTTTAAAAAAAATTAAAAGTTGTAAATGAAGATAATTTTTAAAAAATTAATAAATATTTCACTTTTTATTGCAAAATGGTTAATATATGGAAATTCATTATTTTATTTTAGAGTGGATATAATACATAAAACCAGAGGCAATATATTAGTGGCGTTTCCGTACGTCGAGCACCAAGCTTTGAACCTGAAGTTGGGCGTGAGAGCATTGCGAGACCGTCTTTCGTGAATGAGGCAAGGAACTGAAGTCTCAAATAGGTACGTAGGGGCTTTGGAGTACAAACAAGAATATGTATTTTGTTATACTCTTCTGATCCTAAATATAAGACCCATTTATATTACACAATAGGTTTTATATTTAGAAGTGGAGGAATATAATTTTATATATATTTTAAGGATTTTGTGATAATAATGGGGTGAAATTGCAGCAAATATAGAAAAGTATAATAAAGGTAATTAAATGAAACAAAAAAAGAGAGGCTTATTTGCTTGTTGTTTTTATAATTTTCCTTTAATGAATTTATCTACGCGGATGAAATGTATTTCTTTACTATGATTTTAGGATATCTCAGAGAGATTTGTAGGCTAAGGCCGAAGATATTGACAAAAGGCAAAAACATTAATACTAAGATTGATGATGAACTTAAATAAAGCTAGAACGCAGGTGCAGGCGATCCATGAAGCTTAAGGCCTTACAACATAGTTAGGGCCCATTTATATCAATCTATCGCATATATTTTTCAATTGTGCCCCAAAACCATCACCTAAGCCTAAATTGCAAGTTTTTCATGGTCCTATAGCCCAAAAAAACGTGGCTAGCATTAAGAAAGGGCAGAGCAGTGATTTCAAAAGCTACTTTTTCAACAAGTCAAACAAGATGTCACATAGATTGACGAAGGGCATGTTGAAAATTTCAAAAATCATTAATATCTTAATTATATTAATTTATTAGGCCATTATATTTAATTAAGCAAAAGATTCAATATCCTACAGTATCTCTTATTTAATTAAACATAATGGCTTAACAAATTAAAGAAAGCATCTCCTTATCAAATCCATATCATTATCTCCTATCAAGATTAAAATTCAAATCATTATCTCCTCAAGATTAAGTCACACATGAAGAAAGAAAATATAAATATATTCAGGAAGAGAAAGATGAAGCAAGAAAGATGGGGAAGAAGATAAAGATTCATCAAGATCAAAGATCAAGAATTTAAATTATATTATTTTGATTATCTTTACACCTCCGATTCTTCAAGTTACCTAAAAGAACACACCCCTTAGGCCATAAAAGAATGGCTAAGATGCAGATGGGGAACATGCCAAACACACAGGACATATTGCAAATGTATACACATTTGTGGCGCCATTAACTCTTGCATCCTTTTTCGTTACTCTTTTCTTTTATCAATGATGTTGTCTTCTAGCCACATGCACTACCCAAAAAAAAAAAACAGTTCATTACCAACAAAATTAGCGACGGAAAATTATTTCATCACTAATTTCTGGTGGATTATTAATAAAAATTCTGTTGCTAAATTTAGCGACGGATTAGTGACAAAAAATTTTTATCGCTAATATTAGTGATGGATTAGCGACAGAATTTTTGTCTGTCGCTAATCCGTCAATAAATATTTAGTGATGGA